TCTGGTTTTTCCTCCCATCCGCCCTCCCTTCATGGTTTACGCAACAGGCTGTCGGCATCCAGAAGAAATTTGATCAAACTTTCACAACTGAATTTACAAAAACAACATAAGTTGCCTGACCTACTCAGATCCACTTATGTCACAGAAACACTGTTCCACCAGTAGAATTGAAATTTACATGCATTTAGAATAGACATGTACAAAAACGTATTCTTGGAGGGAAAAGAGGGCAAAATTTCAGCTAAAAGATCTCAGAAATAACAAGGACATTCTTGGGTTGGAAAAGTCAAAAACCTGCTCAGAAAAAAACAAAAAATTTTGAGATTGATCTCAGACATTTTCTACAAAAAACAAAATTTCTGAATTTGAAAAGTCAGAAATTCGCTAGAAATTTTTTTTTAGAAATCAGAAATTTTCTAGGGAATGTTTTGAAATGTTCCTCTTAGACACACTTGATCAGTTTAAGAAAGTTACAAAAAAAACTAAAAGATTGTCCTTACAAAGTCTTATGGCATTTAGCATATAAAAATGTATTTTGCTAATTTTAACTAACTGAAAATAAGAGGAATTTGGTCTGATTTAACTTCAGAACGCAAGAAAAAAAGTGTGTGTCTTTTTATTGTCTACAAATATCTGGTTTGCTGATAAATTAACATTTGATTAATTTGACTTTTAATCAAATGTTAGATTCCACTTTATTACTAAACTGTGCAGTTTGAGTATCAGTAATATTCAGGGACTTTATACAGAAATCAAACACTTTCCAAACACTGAAATTCAAACATTTTGAATTATTTAAAGCACCTGGAAGCTGTGGGAAGTGCAAATAATGGCAGCCTTTTGGAAATCAGACAGCAAATGTAAGGTTCTAAATATATATAAAAAATACAGTTTAAAATGTCAAATACAATTAATTTTAAAAAAAAAAGCTAGTAGCGGCTCTATTATGTCCATGAGAATTAAATGTATTGATTTATTTATATTATAGCTCGTGAAAGAAAATTGTAGATCAGTGTAACTGGGTCCTGACAGCTTAAAGTTTAAAAAACAAAAACAAACAAACAAACAAAAAAAAAAACAGATCACTCCAATTTCTCTTCAATAAATGCAGAACGCAAATAAACTAAGTAGAACATTTTTATGAAGCANCNTGATTCATTAGATACACTTTATAGATTTATTTGTAGAGAAATTCTGTCTAAATATGCAAATAATTATCTTACTGAATACAGTGATAATCTGCTGATGTTCGGTGTTAATTTAAGATGAATTACTTGTCAACAGAAATGTAAACACAAAGACGAAAAGATGCTTTTAAAGCAAAACGTTAACAGAGCGTCCCTGCTGATGTTGTTTATTGAGCAAAAGACTTTGGACGGGATGACTCAGTCTAGCATAAACGGATCACAAGGTCAAGATCTTATTACTCACATTCTTAGTTACAGAGAGCATCTGCTTGCTGCTTTTTACAATTAAATTAGATCAATACCTCTGAAAAATATCCAGAATTAATAAGTCTGAACGCTCACCAAGTAATCATTTCAAAAGTTTATGAAACTCATTTACTAAGCCACGAATTCAGGAACATTTAGTGTCAGCTGTGTCGTTTTGCTGATGTGGCAACTTGGCGCTCTCAGTCCAACCAGTAATCCAGCTAAATGCTTTTCAAACTCTGAAAACCTCAGATGGGACACCCACAGTAGCTTACAGCCACTTATTCTGCTTTCTAAAAGTTGAAGATGTACAAGTTAAATAATCAAAATGTGCATTTTGTGACTTATAAATCATGCAAAAATATGCTTAGCTAATAAACATGAGGTGAGGTGACAGGTGGGTCCAGATCTCAGATAAAAACACTAAAATAAAGCAGGAAGTGATCAAGGGAGTTTCCATTTTACTTTGAAATACAGGGTTATTATTACAGCTGCACAACACCAATAACACATAACTAGTCCTGGATGACAATATACACTGCTCAAAAAAATAAAGGTAACACTCAAATAACACATCCTAGATCTGAATGAATGAAATATTCTCATTGAATACTTTGTTCTGTACAAAGTTGAATGTGCTGACAACAAAATCACACAAAAATCATCAATGGAAATCAAATTTATTAACCAATGGAGGCCTGGATTTGGAGCCACACACAAAATTAAAGTGAAATGTTCCCTTTATTTTTTTGAGCAGTATAGATCATGATTAATTTATTTCTTCTCTGTCACAGTCTCTCCTCCACTCTGAATCCATCCAACAGACCAAATAATCTTTTTTTTATCAACAATCATATTTGAAAGGGGCGCAATGCATTTCAACTGTACTCGAATAATAATTTGGCCAAATTATTATTTGGCCAAATAATAATTTTTTATTATTTGGCCAAATAATAGAAAATTCACTTTGCAAGCATACATTTTTATATGAATTTAGTTGTTCAACCGGATTGATCTGTTTCATCAGACCGCTTAGAAAACTAAAGACTTTCTGCCTGATAAAAACCTGCTTATTTTAGTGAAATATGCAAAGAATAAGACATTGCTCCCAAAAGAGGAACAAAAACAAGGACGAGTTTACATCTCGGATTTATGTTTGTAAAATAGCCTTGTCGTTTTAAATGTATTTATTTTTTGTCTATTTTAATAAAAAAATAAATAAATAAAGGAAATGAGGATTTAAACTGTCCTTAATGATCAGCTAGGATAGCTGAAACAGTGAAATAAAAACATGCTACCCAATATTTAATTACTGTATTAAATATAACAAATCACTTCTGAGTTTAAAACGCAGAAAAGTTAAAGCTTTTCTACATGAGACGTGATGTTTCTACTGAGCGGCTAGGATGCTAAATGCTAACGCTAGCTCATTAGCTTCCTACAGGAAAACTCAAGACCGAGGAAAGCAGTCAGTGGCTGGTTTTTAATTTATGCGTCTGTAGATTTATGTCTATAATAGCTTGTCAATTTGAAGGGGAAACATTACCAAAATAATATTAAAAAGGAAGAAACACTGGATGAAGGCTAGCAAGTACAGTTAGCTTGCCAAATCAGTTGACAGCTGTGAGACACTCAGCAGCTCTGTCAGTTAACATTGTGGACATTTTTATTTAAAATAAAACACACACAGCTATAGATGAAACACCTCTTTGCATAATTTTCATTAGTAAAATTAAAATCCCATAGGAGCAGGAGCTAGCTATCAGGACCAGGCCTGGTTCACTTACGTCTGGACGGTTGGTTAGACTCCCCGAGGGCTTTCCTACCCCCGTTTCCGCCGCTAGACTTCCCTCCTCCTGAGTTACTTTTCCTCCCTTTCTTCACTACCTCCCACTTCCCAGCCGAGCCGTTGTTAGAGGCCATGTTTCCAGTCCAGATGGGTCAATTATCAGTTCGTGAGGTATCGTGACTTTAATTTCTCTCTTCTTGCTGCTAACGTGACTACGACGAAGGGACACTCCGTCAGCTCTGATCAACGGCTCTGCCACGTCTCGTTGACGGGCTGACGTCAGCGGGCATTGCGTTTAAACCGTTAGCTTTCATTTCAGCCAAACTCGGAAATTTATGGAAAGTCATCTTAACATTTAATAGCCAGACTAGCTAAACATTCCAGATATCTCACTCATACAATTGTAATTATGGATATCCAAAAACCTAAGTTTCTACTAGCAACCCTTGTTGATATATTTTATTTAAATTTAGACTGGTAAGAGTACTATATGAACGAGGAGAAATTATATTATTGCTATCTAAATGAGGTATTACAGATAGATGGGGTTGTTGGTTGAATGCTAAAATGGCTTGCCACAGAGGAGTTAAAAGTCACTTCAAAATTAAATTGTGAATTTCTGACATTTTGTTTTCAAAGAGAAGTGTAATGTTTCAGTGTAGGTGAACATTTTTTAATTTTTCACATTTAATCCAGAATTTCCAGCTAAATCCAGATTATATATTACTTTTATCTTTATGCTTTATTAATTAATATTTTTTATATATTAACAAGCCAGTGAAAAAATCAGTTAATCTCTTATTTTACTGTTGCATTTGAGATAAATGAGAACAAAAAGCCATCTTGTAGTTGTTACTGACTTGCCTTTGATGATCTTTAATATCCAATTAATCCAATCCAATGTTTATGTTTGTGTAAATAAAAAGAAATTACACTGCTATATATAGGAAGTAAAAGGTAAATTATTTTTACACAATAGCTTCAAATGCAATTACACTGTGTTAGGTGTTTTAGAATCAGAAACTTGTAAGTCCTAGTTTATGTCTTTATCACTTTAATAACATACCAAATGGACAATATTTTAATAAAACAAGTAGTCTAATTTTTCTAGAAAAGGAATCTGTAAATGCATTGTGTTGCTGTGTTATTTTCCAAAACTTTATTGGAGTTTGTTATCCTTTTTTTTTGTTGTTACGTTTGGCAACAAAGTCTGAGCAGCGTAAAGTGTAATAAATAGAAGCAGAAACACATTTAATAAAAGACAAATAATTTGCCTTGTAGCTAAATAAATAAAAGTAAGAAGATTTTATTTGTAAAAATACTGAATTAATTGTGAATTCACTCCATTCTTGTATTGTGAACCAAGGGGCCAAACAAAATCATCCAGAGGGCCACAAATGGCCCACAGGCCACACTTTGGACATCCCTGTTCTAATGATTGAAGGCCTGAATTCTGGTTAAAAATCATTGCAATCACTTGTTGCAAGTGTGTATCGTTCCAATATTTATCAGTTATTACAATAGTAGTAAATTACATTTTACTATTTAGGGTCTTTTTGAAAACACTGAAACATTCTGGTTTCGCACCATTCCCGATCTTATTAAATTTGCAAAACAATAAATATAACCATCAGTTCAAGAAGCTTTAAACCAAACAGAATCAAGTTTTTTGCAACCTAATAATAGGAATATTAGTATATTTAAGTTGTGCAGTAAAATCTGACAGATGTCATTTATCAGATAATCTGGTCAATAAACAGAGCAGCAAACACTTTTCATTTTCTTGAAACCTCAGAGCTTTATTTCATTCCAGCAGTAAATCCAAATGATGCAGGTTGGTCACCCGGCCGCCGTGGTGAGAGGCTCTCCTCTCCGGCTGCTCAACCTGGTTATTCATCACAACAAACCAAACCTCTGCTGTCCTCGACAGCCATGTTGGCGTTTCGACGCTTTGCAACATGTGAAAACTCAAATGCGGCAACAGAGGAATAATGGTAGCAGCTAACATGTTTAACTAAATAAACACAGTCAAACATTAGTATTTAGTAGTGTTGGTCTGCAGTGTTTGTTCATTCATAGATTTATAGCCTGATATTTGTTTGATAAATAAAAAGACGCCTTTGACTTGGCCACTGAGGAATTCAATGCAAATTAAAAAAAGAAGAAAAAAAACATACTCCTTTAGAACAAATCTACAAAATATAAAATTGCATCTTCCTGTGTCTTTCTGGCAGCAGCCAGTCACTGCATGTTGGCATTTTGGATCATGTCGCTCGGCGTGTTTCGCTACATTTAGTGCAAGACCTTCAATCTCCCCAAATCCAAACCATTGTTTGTTTTTTTCAGAAACTGTACAGAGCAGATTAACAAAGATAAATAAATAGAAACATAAATACACCATGGGGTGGTCACCTAACGAGCCGTCAGAGCAGTTTCATGATGAACCCGATGTTTTCCCTCAGGGCGATGAGTCGCTTGAAGCATGTACATGTGTGCTGTTCAGAGTCTGATATGTCTAATCTTTCACTTGTCATCATGTAATCAAAATATTTCCATTTTGCAGGCCTTTTTTCGATAATCTCAGCTCGAAAAGAAAACAATCACATTGCTAGTAAAACTTGGTAGTGTTTCATGTATGAACTCTCGGTGCAAAGGAAGCGGCTTGTCTCCTGGAAAGCGCGGCCAGCTTTAAAATCCCGTTGTGACTCTGAACGTGACTCACCGTGCCGGGCGGCTGCCCTCTGGAAGCAGGTTAGAGCTAGTCAGTCGAGCCGAGCCGGGCCGGTCCAGACGCATCTGGGTGAGCGTCCTTTGCAAGTCAAAGTCTGGGGGAAGCAAGCCGGTCCAACAAAGTCGTCATGGACATGTGAAGCCGTGAATGAGATGGAGGAAGTCAGAGAGTTTAAGAATGAACTTATGGGGATAAAACCAGGCAAAAAAAGACTTGATGGTCTGATTAAAGTATGACAGGTGATGGAGGCGGGAAAAAAAGGGGAAGATTTCAGAACTCCTGCTGATCTCGTCCTTCATCGATTTCTTCGTCTTCTGGAGGCGCGAATCCTTCCTGCAGAGACAGTTTGACTCAGTTTTTATGTCTGTGTTCAGGGTTTCCCCCAGTGTATTATAAGCCTGGCGGGCCACCAGGCTTCACTTGTGCCCCCACCATGCTAACCATTGTTTATTTATTTAAATCTTTTTAAAATGTTTGCATTTTTTAAGACTTTATAGTTGGTGTTTAAGTGTTGATCTTCCAACATATGATTATCAAGTGATATTTTCAAATTTCCTGTCAACTTTAAACATTTTTAACTCAAAAACACAACTGAATTTATGTTAAATGTGAAATAATTTGCCAATACTTTTCATCAATATTAAGCAATTTAAAACAAGCTCCTGAAAAGTTACTTTTAAATTCATTTTCTATTATTTCAAGATATTTGCACTAGAAGCAATCCAAAGTACTTGATAAGATTTTGAGGTTTTGCAGTGCTGTTTTATATAGATTTATTTCTGCATTACTTTAGCTGTTTATGCTAATCAGGTTTTGTATTTAAAGGGATAATTTTATGTTTCCAATCTTTGTTCTTGAAGTATTTCAAATGATAACCTGTCAGTGAAACTGTTACTTGTAAGATTAAAAAAGTATTTCCTGAAAAGTTTACTCAAGTACTGAGTAACCGATCAAAACATGAATCATTTAATATCTCAAACTCGTTAGATTTATCAAAATAAACTGTAAGTGGAACTTTTGGTATTTTAAAGAGCAAATTGAAAATAATTCCTCTAAATAACATAATTGCAATAAAACAAAATGAGGCAAAAGAAACTGTTTTCCAAATCAGTTTCTTTCAGTGTGAAACTTAATAAAATCTGTAGGTTCGAATTTGGTGAATTTTTGGTTAAAACATGTTTGTTCTTCATTCAGTGGATATTTTACTCAAGTAAAAGTAGCGACACTTTGTAAAAAAGTAAATGTAACTCGTTACTAATAAACTCCGCTCAACATTTGCAGTAGATTTCAAAGCCAGTGAGTTTTTCAGATGCAGTGAAACGAAACTCTCTGGATTGTTTTGATGTCCTCTTTGTGGTTGTTAGGGTGTTTTCTCTGTAAGCGTGTCGGCGTTTGTTTACCTCTGTAGCGTACAGGATGTCGATGATTTTGCCGAGAACCGGGTTGTTGTCGTTTTCATTTTCCTGACAGATGAGCTCAATATCTCTCAGTTTGCCGAAGTAGAAGTCTCTCTCCTTCTCCAGCCCGTCGATGGTCAGCTTCATGTCCATTATCTGCAGCCAGACACCGAACAACACAAACTGGGACACTCAGACACAACCAGTTCAACATACTAGGCAGCTATGTCCCGGGAACGGTTAACCTGAGACTCCCCATGCAGGTAGACAGAGTTTGGACTGGACAGAACCGCGGTACCTGCTGGTTTAGCTCTATGAGTTCTGCGTCTCCCCCATTGCGGGTCACTGGGTTGTTTCTGCGGGCGGCTGGTGGGTTGATCTGTCTCTGGGGGACGGGGACAGTCTTCGGCGCTGTGGGAGACGTTCTCATGGGGCCTGAAACAGAAATATTTATAGTTCTGGAGCCGTTTGGGACGTTTTTATGGCTCATATTTTCCTTACAGTTGCTGCTTTTGATGTTTGGTAAACGAACAGAAAGGCTTAACTCTGACATTTTGATTAACTTCATTTTGAAGATAAAACTTAAGGCAAACCAGATCCCTTCAAAGAAATGGAAACTGCCCTCAGTTTTCCTAATCGGATGAATCAAATGAGGGCAATAAAAGCTGTTTTTGAACAAACACCCCAGAGTCCCTCAATATTCAAACACAAACTTTCTTTCTAGTTGCAGCTAATAATAATAATTGTAGTTTTAAATTAGCTAACGATTATTCAGACAATTAATAGATTAACTAGATTTTAAAAAGACACATTCTGCAGATTTCTTATTTTAGCCTTTTTGTACAATATAAAAAAAAACATCCAGAGATGCAAATACACAACTTATTCGATTCCTTTCTTAAATAAAAAAATGACCATCTGCAGCAGAATAAATATTTTCCAATCAATCAATCAATCAATCAATCAATCAATCAATCAATCAATCAATCACATTTATGTCTATGGCACATTTCAGCCACAAGGCAGTTCAAAGTGATTTACGTCATAAAAACACAAAGATGTAGAACGCTGAACGCTGCTTCTGTTAACACCAACGTGTGGAAAGTTTGTCTCTTTCTGCTTAACTTGACATAAATAGAGTGAAGGGCTGATCTGTTGATTATTACTGATTAATAATTTGATAACAAAAGCTGTTTAATAGGAGATTTGTTTGCAGAATTTGAACTAGGTGAGGCTAAAAATGCCACTTGACAAATTCTGGGTAGAAAATATTTAAAGAAAACTTTTTTTTATCTTAAATGCAAAATGTTCATATATATTTACACACTCTACACTATATAAACCCACAAACCACAGCTTGTGTTTATTTTCCCACTTCTTTGGCAATATGGCAGCACAACAAAAACACACCAAAACACACCAAGGCTGCTCACAGCAAACCAGAACCATCGGATCAACAACCCAAACGCCGAGCTGATGCTGGATGAGGCTGTTACCTGAGCGAGGGCGTCGCTTAGGTTTGGGATGGATGGGTTCCCCTGGTTACAGAGGGGATGCGGTGAGGTGACGATTTATGACATGAAGCTCTGAACCAGACACACACACACACACTGGTGTCCTGTGTACCTGGGTTAGGCGGTGGCGGCGTTCCCTCCTGGCCCTGCCTCATCAGTAGCGGGTCGTACTCTTTCCCGTCGTAGTTGGCATCGAAAAACCTCTTGAACCACTGGAGGAACTCAAAGTTGTCCTGAAACTTCCCCTTCACCAACCTCTCCACGGGAATGATCTGAGGACCGCAGCAGGAGAGGAGAGGAAGATTAGGAATACTGAAGAAAATATATTCCAGACCTTAATCTCAGGGGCAGGAAGGTAAAATCTGCGGCGTTTGGCTTCAGACGGTTAAAGGCAGTAAGCAGCGATCGTCGAGTCTCACCTTGTCCACATTCATCCTCTTGAACGCAGCCTGTAAAACCTTAAAGTTGTGAATGTACTCGTGCTCCAGCTTGGCGTTGAACTTGACCTTTTTCAACAATATGCAGCCCGGAAACAGCATGTCCATGAAATGGCAGTAAGCGGCGCCTGCAGCAGGAGGAGGAGGAGGCGTTAATGGAATAAAATCTGTTTGATCTGATTAATGCTTATGAAACGTGGCTGCGAACCTGAACAGAGCTGCTCGATCTTTGTGTAGGTGAGCTGCAGGGAGTCGTTGACCCAGGCCAGCATGTCATGGCGGCTCAGGTTGTCCACATTCATGGAAGTGGAGTAGACATTCACCGCCATCCTCCTGCGCCACAGATTATCAACACATGCAGCAACTAAAGGATCAGCGTGAAGCTACAAGAAAGGCTGTTCCTTAAAGACGCTCACCTGGGCTTAGTTTACGTTGGTGTTTAATGATTGACCACCAGACAGGGTTTGACCACCTAAGAGAAAAGATCTGAAGACAAAAACAAAAATAAATCATGTTTATTACAAGTAATTTAATTAATCACTGAAGGTAAAAACATGTTTTTAATCAGAAGAAGAGAGCTCATAATGTGTTGCTTTACGACTGTTTGATACAGTACTGCCACCATGTGGCGGTACAGATGTATTGCAGTTATTGTAATTTTAAAGAAAATAGCTTTGTAATTATTTTAAAACATTTTTATGTGCATCTAATAAGGCCTGGATTTTAACTCAGAGTGTTTGTTGTAAATGAATGATCTGATGAAACTTTTTATACAAATATAGTATAAAAATAGCCCACATTTTCTCTTGACAACACATTTAAATGTCCAAACAAATTCAAACAAATAGGGTTTTTTAAATATCAGACTCAAATGTAATGTTGCTCAGAATCATCTAAAATTAAATGAACTTCTTTTATTTTGTGCTCCATCTGCTCTAAAAATGTGTTTTTAAATATTACCATGGAAATATTATTTATCAACATAAATTTTAAATGTATTTTTTATGAAAATCATTATTTATTCTTCAGTTTACGTAACAGATACATTAATTTTCTGATCCTGTCCTTATATATGAGCTACTGCAAACATGACACTGTTTAATAGATTTTTTTTCATCCAGTTTCTGCAAATAGTAAATTAATTGGGACCACTCTTAGTCATTTGTAAATAAATTGTTGTAATAGAAATATAATCCATTAATAAACTCTTTCTAATATGTTTTTTACAAATCCTATTAGCAAACATAATAAATATTCATCAAATCTGTAAAATTTTAACTCTTTAAACTAAAGTGTTGGCTATTTAATTGCTTTTTAAAATTAAGATTTGTGCTTTTTTAACCCCATGTGTGCAAATATGTAGATTTGTAGCACATTAACTAAATCTTCATCCAGCAGAAGTGGTGAAGGACATTCAGTCTGAGGGAACGGAAAAAAAGAACTAAAATTAGATGTGAAATTGAAATGGAAATGTAACAAAAACAGTCTTTATAATGGGGATCCAAAGGCAAACAGATTATCAACTGATTATCACCCTATTAACTTTAAACCGTCTGAAATACTTCAAGAAAAAAATGGAAACATAAAATTAAACACAAAACCCGATTTGCATAAATATACAAAGTCATGCAGAAATACATCTATAAAACACAAAATCTTACCAAGTATGTTGTATAGTGCAAATATTTTAGTAAATTGAAATGAGACAAAATTAACTTACAAGTAATTTTTCAGTTCTTTCCATTTCAATTTCTTAATATTGATGAAAAACACTGGCAGATTATTCCACTAATAACATGGGAAAATCTGTTATAGGTTAAATAATCTGCAACAATATTATAATAAAGTTTATTTGATAGGGACAGACACACATCAACATAGACAAACTGAATAAAACATCATCCCATGTTTGCATCATGGTGCAATGGCAACAGCTAATTCGCAGCACTTGTCCCTAGTTGGGCCGTATTAAGGAATTATTTATTTAAAACAAGCTCCTATATCTTGTTGAAAATTTACTTGTAGGTTAATTTTGTCTTATTTCAAGTTTACTAAGCTTTGAGCTATAAAAAGAAGATTTTGTTTTTGCAGTGAATAAAAACCAGCAGGTCTGACCACTTCCTGAACCTGCAGCTTGTTGCAGATAAACTGGTTTGCTCTAATCTGAGCCTGCGTTAATCCTTTTAGCCCAGTATTTAACGCGCTCTGCTTGGCGTCTCCAGCAGCAGCAGCAGAAAGAATCAGTCCAACAAAACCAGAGCGTTTCCTTGGGGCCGGTCCAACACCAGCAGCACACAGGAAGCTGAACAATCGCTTCCTGACCGCGGCGCTTCACAGGTGGCGCTAATGGTCAAGCTAACGGTGTCAGTATGGCCGCCGCTACCAGTTTGACAAGTTTGACAGCAGCATTTATAATCAACAGAGACCAGTCAGAAGTCGTCCTTGGACAGGAGAACTGGTGAACGTCTCGTCAACATAAATAAAGAAGTCTCATTGTAACTAAAATAGCATTCAGGTCAAATAAAAGACATTCAGAAACATCAAAGTATTTATTTTTAATTTATTATCAGCAGAGGCCGCATGAACGTCTCTGTTTAAAAATAACTACTTTCTTTATACAAAAATCTGAGTTTTGACTAAACAAGGCACTTATTTAAAGGTTTGGAAATGTAACTAATACACAATGTTTTAAAATAAAATGAAGGAAATTAAATACAAATTAGTCGGAAACCCAGTTTGCTCTTTTGTTTTGTCAGATTTCCTATATGTAAACTTTATTAAGTCATCCTTTATCGGTTGAAGTCTTTTTAATCAGAAAAATAAAACCTTGTTAATCATATTTGTGAATAATCTGACTAGGGCTTGCCGCATAATCTGATAAAAAAATGTTTAAACACACATAGACAGAAAGTGCTTTAAAGAATCGTTTAGTGATTTTCCTTATTAATCCGTGATCTGATCTAAAGATGATCAATACATTTGAATTAACAATATAATCTGATTTACTGTTAATGATTTAACAGGCACTACAACAAATAGAGCAAGGACTCAGATTATTCTAGGATTTAGGAAATAATCTCCAGATGTAATTATATCAGCTCTTATCACAACCACAAGATACCAAACTTTAAAAACATTTTTACAGAAAAGAAGAGCAGAAAAGTTTGTCATTTTATCAGCTAAACAAACCAACAATGGTCAAATTTATTCAGAAATACAAAAACCAAAACAAACTAGTCAATTCAGACGTTATTATTCTCAATGAGAAATTAATTTAAGATTTAATTTAAACTTCTTTACAGGAAAGAAAAACTACAGTTCAATTTGATCCAAATTGTAAGACAGCAGTTAACTTAAATGTATGTTAATTGGTAAAATATTTTCCTTCACTGTATTCTCCAGAGGTCGCTGGTCATTTTTAGAAGAATATCAAGTGACCTCTGACCTTTCAATCACCCAGGCATGAAAAGGAAACTTCCAAATTCAAGGAAGGAAACCGTGTTTTGTCAACACAGCCGACAACTTTCAAACAACCAGGTCAGACGCTTCGCCACTTCGCTAAGAGGACAATTTATTACCATTTATTTAGCTAAAAAATACATTAAACTAAAAAAACTGAATATAGAGAGACAATTTTAGCTTTTAGGTGCAAAAGTGGTTAATCTGACACATTCTGGATTAGAGTTTTACTTTTCTTTTACGTAATCATAAGTGACATTGTTTTAAATGCTGTTCATCTGTTAACAATAATACGATCAGAAGCAACAGGTGAAAAAAGCAAGTCCAAAACATTAAAAGACTTTATTAAAGTTTGGAGAAAAATAAATTATCATTTTAAATGACTACTTTAACGCCTGGCTGTTAGCAGCAGCTTGAAATCTTCACCTTGTACTTTATAGAGTCTAAAACCACAGAAATGTTTGAAAACTTTAACTATTTTTGATCAGTTATTAGCCTGAAAACACAAAAAACAACTAAATGTCCAGGAAAACTTGGAAGGAAAAAGAAAAACCAAATACTGAGCAGAAAACATCCAAAACAATAATACTCAGTGCCGATTCAGACTGAATAAAACTATAATAAAATGAAAAATTAGAATAATAAAACTATAGCAAAACCGTAATGAAATGAGGGTGGTTTAAAACATTTGCACAATGATACATAAAAGCCTATAATCATTCACTTTAGTTACAAACGCTTACTTTAAAATGCTTTAAACTGTCTATTTATGTATTAATAGAATGAAAACATGAAATAAATGACTAAATACTGGAAAGAAATTTAATAAAAAAGATGTGACTGAATAACATCCCAAAATAATCCTGCTCAGTACAGACTAAGATTGAATTTAGCAGTGAATAAAAGAAACATAAAACTGGAATACTGTATGTTTATTAATCTAATTCAAAATCAAAGGCACAAAGAAGTTGTTGTTTCACTTGTATATTCAAATACCTTGATACTATTTACATAACTATTTGTTTGAAGAAGAGGAAGGCAGAAGGATAAACTTATTTGAGTCCTTCCTTGTACATATACTTTATTTATTTTACACACCATTCTTCATTTAAGAAAAAACAAGATAAAAGCAGAACTTTATTTCTTCTGTCAATAAAATAAAAACTAATAATCTTATCAATAAATTTGGTTTTATTCAAATAACAAAAGATTTTAGATTTTCTGTTTTAAAAAAACATTTCCATCATCATCCCAGTCTAAATTGCTCCTCTCCATCTTTTTTATATATTTAAATTATTTTTTGTTGTATAAATCGTTGGAATACACATAGTTTATAAACTCGTTTAAACACATTTAATTCAATGTCTTCTTAAATTATATCCTGTCTGCGAACAATTCCTTCATTTTTACTAACACAATAAATTATTTCTCTTTAAATATTGTTTGTGGATTTTTTAAATGTTTATTTCATATCAATTATCCCTTTGACAAGTGTCTATTGTTGAGCTTTGGTCGTTGTTAGCAGCTTTTAAAATCGGTTTTCACAGATTGTAAAAAGTGATATTAATACAAATGTAAACCCGGTAGAATTGGGCTGAACTCCGAACCCGGTCCGGCTCGGTTTAACGGCTCAGTCGGACTCTCTTTAACGGATGACGTTACAACCGTTAAATGCACAGACAGGCAAGCTAGCTCCCGGCTAACTGCACCGTTAACGGAGGCGAATAAGCTAACTGAGCTAAAGAGTACCAACAGTCCATTTCAATTTATTTGGGTCGGTTTAATTTCATTACGGCGCTGTCTGTGAACAACTAGTCCGTACGGGGTGCGACTGAAAACGAGACTTTTTCCCCCATCCAAAGCACACACCCCTCTGGAGGCCTTTTCAATAATACACACACGCATCACTCCAATGAAAGAATGCCTGTCTCCTGCGGGACGGGACGGTTTTTAAATGTGGAATTCAATATATATTTTTTTACCAAAAGACCGCAGCTTTGCTTTCAGAGAGCTCGGACTCAGTTAAGATAAGCAGATATTACTCACTGAGGTGAGAGCTGTGCCCTTTCTCCGCCGTGCCGTTGTTTCTGTTGCTGGGCTTTCCGTTGCTATCCGACTGCTCCCACCTAAGCTGCTAGCACTGCGCATGCGCCGCGCAGTAGCAGCTTGGTGCCGCAGTTCCAGTGAAACTGGAGTGTTGGAAAAATCCAATAGAGATACAATGGAAGTGCTAATATACGGTGTTCTTATAATTCAGTTACACAGATATGCGTTTTCTAAAATTAAAGTAAAGTTTGGGTAGCATAAAAATTTATTTTTTGGAAAAATAAAGTATTGCTTAACTATAAATTACAAAGATTAAGGATTGTTCATACATCCAAAACATCCCTGTGGGGATATTATGCATTTTTTTTGTAACCTTGCAGAGTTGCAGGTTCCTTTCTACAGCAGTCAATGGGCAAAACACAAGATACACCTTTAGGGAGGACTGCTGAGTCAAAGCGTATCCCAAGAAAGTTGAGTGGAAGGAAAACCTCTGGTAGGAAAAGGTACCCCAACAACAGGAAGTACTTCTGTCTGCAAAAATCTGCAGGGATTTTATTTAGTTTCTATGCACAGAAAAAAATACAAAACTATCAGGAATATTAGATTGTGATGAAAAGCTCTGGAAATTATTTTTCCATTATATTTGTTATTATTAAACCTCTATAAAATACTGACTAGCTATTTCAAACTTGAGCTTAATTGTAAAAACTGAAAGAAAGAAAAAAGATCAACATTTGTTCGATTTTTTTTATTCAGTTACTTTTATTCTTGTGGTAAGAAACAAGCAGCCACTTACAGACTTAACAGGTTCATTTTCCAACACAACTCCACTAACACAACCACTGAATCACAGTGCCCTCAGCAGAAAAACACAAAATGTCCAACAATATGATCACAGTTGTAAACAATCCTAGAAAAAGCACCAGTTTTTTTAATGAACCTGTGTCTGTTCACGTGGTTCTCTCCATGCGTCATTAACAGAGTGGGACAGGTGATTCCCATTAGCACCTTTAATCTTTTCACAAAATAAAAACAATCTTTTTTTAACGGTATAGAGTACCCACACATGAAAATGTGACTATGCATAAATATATAACACTGGTAGGCAGGAATGAGACGTCATCCGGAGGGTTTTCTTCAGATTTCAGCCTGTGCAGCTCAATCTTCCTGCTATAATACGTGATTGTATTATAATCTTTCTGTCTATATCACATCTGCAGCCTCATTTATAGTGAAATGCATAAACAACACTGCAAAAAACACACAAAATATTACCAAGTATTTCTGGTCTAGTTTCATGAAAATATTGTAGTAAACTAACTTAACTTTACAGCAAGAAATATGAGCTTCTTTTAAGTCAATAATTCCTTATTATTAGTAAAATAATGGCAAATTATTTCACTTGTAGTAAGAATTTTTTAAATTGTTATACATTAAATAATCTTGCATTAGAACTGGTATTTTCTTAAAATCAATCTTAGGGAATTATTTTCTTGTTTTCAAGTTAGTTTGCCTTACTTCAAGCATACTAAGATGTTTGCATTAGACGATAAAAAATACTTGGGAAGATTTTGTGTTTTTGCAGCAAAGAAGTTAAAAATAACCACATAATTCTGCAATAAATAAGCTGCCAGTGGTAGAAAACTGTAAACAGAAACAGACTAGTGAATGCTACTGTACCAAAAGGAAATGGATTGCTGCATTTTTGTTCTTTATTGGAGCATGAATTTAGAAATGAGGTTTATTTGTTTATTGTTTTCGCTCAGATGGCTCATGAGGAGGGACTGCAATCCCCCGCTATTCTTTTCACTTACAATAAACTCCATTGTCATCATCTGGTTAACAGAGAAACCATTTAACCCACAAATGAACTTTAACTCATTGCTCTTTGTTTTCCCTTTAGATGCCCCATATACGGAGTCCTAAACAGGACAAAACTAGGGCTGGGCGATACAGCTAAAAAATAAAATAAATTTTTTTTTCCCACACCAGATTTGATTTAAATTGATTATTTTCTTGCTTTTTTTTCCTAAAAAAAAAAAAAAAAAAAAAAAAGAAATTACAAATGGATAATTTCAATTATCCATTACAATAGGTTTTGTTTGATTACAAGAATATAGCTATAATATTAGCAGAATAAAAATGCAATTTTACCAGAAAAACATCTTAAAATTATCAGTCATGCTGATTATCAGAATCAGCATGACTAACTTAAATTCTTAGTCATGCTGATGTGTTAAAATTATCTTATCTTTGAAACCAATTCCAAAGTATAACTTCACAAATTGCTCAACATTCCTCACGTTTTGTTATTTATTTAATAAATAACAATTAAATAAATAACAAATTTTATTTGTTATTTGGTAACAAATTTTATTCTATTTATTCTGGTAAAATTTTATTCTATTTTACCAGAATAAAATTTTACCACTTTATTCTGGTAAAATTAACATTTTATTCTTGCATTTTTTAAAATTTTATTCTCACATCACAACAATTGTGTGGTTGTAATATTATGACTATTTTTAACCTTTTATTTTAGAAAAAAGGTTAAAATTCTCATAAAACAAGATGGCAGCTTTAGCTGACATCACTCTGAACTATGGGAACCCAAGGAGTGGATTGGTGTAAAAAAATCCTGATATTCCAAGCATTAAATCCCCAAAAATCAATCAATAAAATTGATTTATCGCCCAGCCCTAGACCAGGGTTGCCTTCCAGGCGTTTTGTTGGTTCAGTTAGAGGCAGTTGAAGTGTAAATACAGACAGTGATAGAAGCAGCTGGATTTCATCACCACACAGAACTGTTGGTCCACTGGAAACCAAAAACATTCTCACTGGGGTCGTCCGGTCACAAACAGGATCCACGCACATCAAACACAAGAAACTATAACGCTATGGTGTCTACGGTGTACCGTGTGTTCGTCAGTGACGGGTTTGAATTCACTTATCTTTAAATAATTCTGGCAACACTTTTGTTTCGAACCGTTAAAAACTGTACTGGTTTTGATCTGCCTCTGGTTAAAACGTAACGAGGCTTAAAAGCACCGCAGATTTATGTTATTACAATAAGCTAGAATTTAAGTTCAGAGCTAGCCCTTTTTTAGTCCAGCTAACCACAAATTCACTGTTTTGCAAACCACTTATTAATAAATACGTCTGACTTTTACTTGAATTTGTTTTTGCCTTACTTTTAAAGTTTTATTCTGTTGTTTTAAAATCAGTGCAGTTTTCCTGGTCGCTTGGAAATATAATAAAAACACAGAGGTGGAAACGGTTTGAACTCCGACGCTAACGATTACCAAATGCCACTGGAGCGGCCACCAGGGGGAGCCAGAATCCGAGCAGAGGACCTCTTCGGGATGTGGTCGTCAACTTGAGAACCTGAGAGGAAAAATCCATTTAAATAACACCTTTTTAGTTACAACGAGGAACAGATTAGTTTAAAAGTTTAATTTAAGCCACCTGACAGACTAAAGGAGGACTCATGGAGGTCTCGGACACCCTGGTGGGCCCGAGCGGCCGGCTTGTTTGGCGACTCGCCGTCGATTGGACCCAAACCGAGCTCCTTCTTCATCGTGTTCGCAACCTTGGCCACATCACCAGAATAAGGATCCCTTACTACTCCTTTGTAGGCCTGGTTCTGAAACAAGGAGTTCAAAGGTCAACAAGAATCCACACATCTAAGCCTGTTGCAATAAATCAATAAATCGCATGATAAATTAAAACAAACTTATTAATTTCCATTTGCATAATTAACTGTTTTCCTCTTTTCTCTTTCTACCAAAAACTGGATGATAAACGTCTTCAGTCTGCTGCTTTGGTCTGAACAGAGACTTCATAATTAATTTTATTTATTTATTTTGAATATTTAAAATGTCTTCCAGGTCCAGTGTTAAATGTTCATCAGAATTTAAAGTTTATTGATTTTTCAGAATGTGTTCTTGAATTATTTATGCCATTATAACCAGCATATTAGTTGAAAATGGTTTCAAAACAACAATATTATTGATTATTGGAATAACTTATGGGACATTTTATCTTCCAGTAAAATTTGGCAAAAAGTCTACTCAAGTACTGAGTAACTCAAATTACCAGTCATTTAATATTTAAAAATTACTTAACCAGATGGATGAAAATATAAAGTTAAGTGGAAATTTTGGCATTTTTAGGGACAAAAATGACAATAAGTAATAAAAACTAACAAAAAATGTTTCCAAATCAGTTTCTTTGAATAAAAAACTTATGAAACTTTAACAAAAACTGCAGGTCTGTGTCTGGTGAATTTCTGGTTCAAACATGTTTGCTTTTCATTCAGCAGGGAGAAAATCCAGAAATTTTACTCAAGTAAAAGTAAAAAGTACAACATAGTAAAAATACTCCTATAAGTAAAATTTTCCAAACAAATGTAATTGAGTAAAAGTAACTAATCACTACCTGACACTGACTGGAAGTAACGTTTTAAACATTTAGACTTTTAATCAAGCGAGGTTATAAAACAGTGCCATTTGAATGTCAAGCACTTTCAAGGACTTTATACAGAAATGAAGCACTTTCCAAACCTTAAAAATTTAATCATTTTCAATAAATAAATAAAATGCAGTGAGCAGAGCAGAGAGTCTGGCATGAAGGGAGGTTTCACCGATTTCAGCAGGATAAAAACAGAGTCAGCGCATAAAGAGAGCATCAGCTCCAAATCCCCGACAGCCTGTCAGATCGGCGGAGTCAGACTCAACATGGCGGCTGCCCTGGCTGCCAGCTGACTCAGCACATTCTCCCTGATTCACTTTAACAAGTTGAGCAGAAACGGGGGGGCAGGAAGCGAACGCACCTTTTCCCTCTGGACCATCTTCTTGTAGAGGTAGTCGGGGAAGGTGCGCTGCGGGTAGAACTTCCCGGAGCCTTCGGCGCACATGAACACGCCGTTCTCACACACCAGGCGTCCCCGGCTGATGGTGACCAGAGGAACGCCGTGGCAGCGCATCCCCTCGTACAGGTTGAAGTCTCCGCCCTGCACCTGGGTGCTCAGGGAGATCGTCCTGTACGAGACAAAAGCAGAGCATAAAACTTAAATCCTATCAATCTCCTGCTTCATTTGTCTCTCATC